GGGGGGGGGAGGCGAGGAAGGGAGGTAGGGAGAGAGACAGAGAGGGAAGAAAAGGACAGGAAAAAACACTAAGTGAAGATAAGATATTGGGGAAGTTTTCGTTTTATTTGTTATATATTTCATTTTAAGCTCCATCATTGTATCAGTAAACTCAGCATCAACGTATGCCACAAGATAGTGGAGTTGTAAATTTTAAACCATTTTTTATTGTATAATATTAATATGCTCAATATCGGCAATGACAGTTAATCACTTAAAATTAGCAGCTTTATTCAAGCAAATTTAAAAACGTTTTCTGGCTCAAAATATTATAAAAACAAGCTTTCGACTGCTTAAAATACAGTCTTCAACGGGTGAAATAGTAAAAGGGGCATTAAAAACTCCAAATGCAATCGAAATTCTAAGAATGCGATAGAACAAACTGAATTATTGGAATAATTGTAAGAATTTTGGCTAAAAAAAATGCTGTTTTGCCCTGGGCGTATCACAATACAGTGGAACCCCGCCTTACGGTCACCTCGTTATTACTGCCACTTTTTCTTGTCCCGGCGAAATTCCCTTACATTTTCTTACAAGAAAATCCCGTTAATCCGGCCAACGACTACATTCTGAAAACCCAACCTGTATAATCTACAATTTTACCCCCTTTTTACGGTCACTCAAACCAGTTATGTTCATCTCTCCATTGTTAATCTTGTATGTACTGATTGAAGTTTTACTGAGTCTTTTAACATTTATACCTGCATATCGAATGTTAATTATTAAAGAACAGTTGGTTGGAAGTCAGGAGAAGTGCAACTGTGATGTCTCGGCTCAAGATGTCGCTTAAAATTTTTGGGTTTCACCCACGTGACCAATAGCTTAGCAACGGTTACTAACCGCCATCTTGGTGTCCCTCAAGCGTAAACAAACCGTATCTAAAGAAGAGTTCATGTGAGAAATAAGGGATGGTTTTATGCGTTGTTGTTGGCTGTTCGAGCAAAGTTGGAAAGGATAAAGGCTTAGGGTTTTTTTGTATACCTAAGATTATCACAAATCAAGGGGAAGAACAGAAGGAACTCACTACTAAGAGGAGAAACGAGTGGATTTCTGCGGTGAGTCGCGGCGACGTTACAAACCTGAGAGTGCTAGAGAGTGAACGATTTTGTAGCAAACACTTCGGTCTGAAACTACCTGAACAGAGCGGCTTTGGTCGATAAATTGGTCAGCAAAAGGATCGATTAAACCTAAAGCTACTGCTTTAATTTTGCGCTGGTTGAGTTTGACATGAAGCTGACCCATTTCCTCTTTCGAAGGCGCCGATGAGCGCTGCATGTGCTGAGGCGCTGATGCGCCGGCCGATGCAGTCCCAGAACTAGAAGCTGCTGTATGGTTCGAGGCTTGCGGCTGTTGTAGATCCCCAATTTTCTGGTCGAGCTTTTCTTTGAGTTTGTTAGCCGATGAAAAATCGATGTCCTTAACCCTCGCATACGGCACTTCATTGACATATGTCGGCAAAATCCATGAGCATTTTACCAGTGTGCGAGCGAGCTTGCCATGAATTCGTGTAGCTGCCTCTAAATAAAATAAAACACTCGCGGTATTTGAGCATGAATCAGCCAGTCCAGCTTTGCTTCCCAAGCAATGAGCTGACAAAATAGTCCCATCGTTTTCGGAAATGACCCAAATGTTCGCTAAAGGATCATTCATACGCTGTGAATGCCGCGCCGAACACTTGCTCTCACGACATACTTGTCGGCGATTACTTTGCCTACAACTGAGATTACAAATCCCGACACCATTTGATTAAACGCCTCCAGACTCTTGAACGCCTTGAACTGCTTGTTGGTGTAAAAGCTGGTCTCAAGAACGAGGTAACTCAGCAAGTCTGAGACTTCTACAGGAGGCAAGCATTCTGGACTGAACTGCTCGGCTGGTATGCTTGCGGGGTCAACCCTGATGACCGAGATCTTTTGCGAATATCTTTCTTTTACTCGACTCCCTCAGCTTTTGGCATAGTCTGAGAGTACTGGGATACCTTAAGATGAATGCCCGGCACTTTTAGCGCTTTTTTCGAAATAATAGAGCGATAATAGAGAAGCTTCACTGTACGTAGAAATGGCCTACATGGCCAATATGAGTATGGGGCTCCGCTTGGTTCGGGCCGCCGAAGCTCCGCTATTACCAATTAATCATAAAAATTACAATTCCGAGAAAAGAAGAATGGCCAAGTTATGAAATAAGGGGAAAATTTGTATTAAAATACCTACAAAGGAGATGTAAACATTCTAAGGCCACCGCGCCTCCTACCGGCGATTAGGCGCCGAAAACACAAAAGCAAGCGCGTGCACGCACGCACGTAACTACAACTTTGAATGTGATTGGTTGATTTAAACTACGACTTTGAATGTGATTGGCTTATTGAACTGTCCGGTAACAGACTGTCCAATAGCAAACTGTCCGATAACAACTTGGCAAATGAATTAGTGGAAACTAGGAGTTTTTTCGAACCAATCCTAATCGAGGAAATTGTAATTTTTATGATTAAGGATGTTACTAAAACTTGGAACGAGTGTACAGCGGTAACCCGCCTGAGATTTCAAAATGGGGGACAAGGACAATTTGGGGAAATGTGAGGAAGTGAAATGTGAGTTTCTAACGGCTATGCCCCCAGATGACCAGTAAGTTCTTGTAAGAGCAGAGTCCGATTAGTACTGGATAAACAAAGCATGAAATGGCGCCTTGGGAGAAAATCGAATCGGTATTATAACATGCTACCCCAATCGGTCAGTACAAAATGCAGACTTCAGACAGCAGACCGGGTACAAAATGCAGACGAGGTACAAAATGCAGACTACAGACTGCAGACGTTCCCCGTTCCCCTATACCAGCGTTCATAAAACTCCCGACTATGTGAAACTAAAACTTTCCACGTTTACATGTGACTCAGAAATACAGTGGCAATTAAAGTACTCTTTTCCATAGTATCATCGAAAGTTCTCATAATGATCAATATTAAATATTGAAATTACGTTACTTCTTGATTTCCGCCTCTGCGCACAGGCCCAAGTTGTAAAGGTCGACGTCACGCTTGACTTAGACAGTATTTGTTTGTGCGGTGTGCGCGACTACTTCAGTTTGTTTTCATCTCTCCCACTGAAACCTGGCTGACAGCACAGCGAATTTCGTCCAGCAACGGGCCTTACATTTACAACCAGAATATTGTGGGATAAACAGCATTCAACTGAAAAGGTAATCAAAGCAGTTGTTTCGATGCTCACGTTACTCAACTCGCCAGTCTTTTAGTATGTCAAGTTCAAACGGATGGAATGTAAGTATTAATTCAAAAATTTATTTCCTTAAAGTGCGTCTTTTTGTCGAGTAGATGCATACAATTATCCGGCACTTTCACGTGGAAGAATTGCTCTTTATATTGTCTTTACTACAACAAATCATAATAAGGATTTCAATGAAAATCTTCTAAAGCTGGGGTCAGAGTTTTTAAGAGATTTTCAAAGGAATCTTCCGGCAAAGCATTTGCATTTAGTCTAGGGTAAAAACATAATATTAAGATAGGGACCCAAGATATGTCAAACAATGCTCTGAAACTGAACAATTCGGGAACAGAATCATCTTACACTTTCATACCTCTGATGGGAATTAAACACAAGCCAGTTGTCTTCTGAAAATCATTTAATTAATGACAGGAATTTTAAACCCGCTAACAAGTTCTGGCGCACTCCCAAATTTTTGTATTTGTTAAGCATTATTAGCGTTATGCGTGGGTAGCTTGATGATGCTAAAAGGCCGCGATATTGGGCAATGTACAAGAAAATGTTTTTTCCTTCTAGTTTACTTTGTGCTAGCCGACAGTCTTTCGAAATTAAGAGAAAAGGGAACGAATAGATCTTACATCGGCTTTGCAAAGGTTAAAGTAAATGAATTCCGTGGTAATAGATTTCCAACGGTAGCAATTAAATAATGAAAGAATAAGAGATGCGAATACAGCCAAAACACTACTGGAAAAATGACCTGAAAAAATTTCAGGCTCTGAACGGGATACCTGAGCCGAGTATTACGTCCACTGAACATATAGGGCCGAACCTGCACACGACCGCTCTCATGTGGCTTTGATAGCTCAGTTGGTGAGCATTGCACCGGTAACGCAAAGGTCGTGGGTTCGAATCCCGTTCGGAGCCTGAAATTTTTTCAGCTCATTTTTCCAGTAGTGTTATGGCTGCATTCGCATCTCTCATTCTTTCATTATTTAATTGCTACTGTTGGACATCTATTACAATGAAAGTCAATAAAGTAAACACGGATATTGATATTAAAAGAGATTTGTTGTGCCACGATGGCCGAGTTTATTATTGTCATTGTTGTTTGTAAGTTAAATTAGCCACCATTTTAGACTGGAACCGCTCTACAACGTTTATAGCGAAATGGATTTCTGTCTACTGTGGACACACTTACTTGCTCTAGACCTTTCCACAAATATCCAGATATGTTTTGGGATACTTAGAATTTTTCCGAGATATTTGGAAAATATTAAGATATTTAGAACATTTAGGGAGATTTAGAAATATTCATAGCTACAGTATTTAAGGTTTCAACGTGACAAGACAAAGGGAGCCAGTAATTAGGAACTAATATGTCAACACATTTATTGGCAGTACAAGGAAGTGGTGTCTGTCGCAGTCACGCGCGTCAGAGCTCAATGGTAACGCTGATAGCCTAAGTTTAGGCATTACAAGTAGAGTGTATTTTGATAACAATGAATAAATAAAAGCGTCATTCTAACCCCAACTTTCCAGAGTAGTACTGCGATTAATAACGAATCATATTAG